CTGAGAATGACGTCTCTGTTGCGCTAGTTGCTCTCACTAGAGTGTCCTGTGTGTTCCCTAGAGGTTCTTTCCAGAGGTGAAAACGTCCTAGTTGACCCTGATTCCTGCAAAGTAAAAGGTCTATTTGGAACCATCCTTACATGATGAAAGAGATAGTAAGATCCATTTCTTCTGGCCACACTTCTGGTCACGAGTGTTACGCCTCAGCGCAAATACCATCTTGTATGACCTTGTTCACTATCCTTACCCTGTTCATGTAGATGATGAGTTGTCACCTACCAGTGGGTCTGCTATTTCTGTCCCGTGAAGACCTCAATCCACTTCACGGATCAATCTGTTCCACCAGTTTGAGGAGAAAGACTTAGCTCCAACTGGACTTCCCAGATAAGTCAAAGCGTTTGTTGACTCTGTTGAACAAACGTCGACCAGCCATTGCCTTACCAGGTTGAGAAGATGGGTATAACGAACTTATTGTCCACGGTAATTCCACAAGAACCTTGTACTAGACCTATCTACATACCTGCGTACAGAATGCCTCATTCACAAGTTGCAGTCGCAGAAGAATTGATCCAATCAAATTTGCCTTTGATGATGAGTTATTGCACCTAGCAATTCCCCTGTGAATGCAACCCTTGATAGCTAGTACCTAAGCAGATGGTACTTGGCGCCCAGTGATTGACTTTTAGGAAGTTTAAACGCGAAAACCATTCCAGATCGCTTTCCACTCCTGTACTGGTGTGATCTTTTACGTAATAACGGAGATAACGCAAAGTTCTTTTCACCGCTGGATTTGTTACAGGGTATTGCAAGTCCCCTCTTCACTAGGAACAGCCAATGAGCTAACGGCATTCTCCACTCCAACAGTCATTATCACTTCTCCGTATGCGTTTGGATTACGATCTTCCCCTATCACATTCTCAAGGCTCATGACTAATATCTTAGAGGTCCTCATAGGTAATGCACTATGGTGTAATTAGATGACGTAATCGTCATGTCTAAAGACGTGATTCACACTTGTCCAGACTTGATGTAGTACTTGGTAAGTTGAAGAAGCCAATATAAGATCAACTGTCTAAATTCAAATTTTCAGAACAGAAATTAAGTTTCTTGTCACGTAGTCACGTCCTAGAGGGGTTACGACTGACCAAAGTAATGTAACTGCAGTACAAAATTTTCCAACGTCCCAAAACTGCTGATGCCGTAAGATCCTTTGTGGGCATTAGCAGGTTTTATTAAGATCTTTCATGCCAAGTTTTCTTCCTTAGCTGCTCCTCTAACTGATTGCTTAAGGAAAGATGCTCCTTTGTTTGGACCTTCCGTCAAGAAAGAGCAGTTCCAAACTCCTAAAAAAAAGCTAACCATCTGCTCCAATTTGAAAATTTCCAGATTTTTCTAAGCCCTTCCTATCTAACCAACTGATGCCTAGTTCTCTTGGCATAGGTGCCGTACTAGCTCAAAGACCGATGGCAAGTACAACGTCAGTTGCATTTGCTAGCGAGTCCTTACGGAAGGCTGAATCGTAATTATACATTAACCTGAGCCGAAGCTTTAGCAATAGTATGGTCTTTAAAGCACTTCGAACATTATTTTTCAGTACATCAAGTTCATTGTCTTGACAGACCAGCTCCACTTATACCCTTATTCCAGAACAAACAACCTACTGAAGTTTATCCAAAGTACCTTGACTATCCAAATATTTCAATCCCACCTTTTTAGAAATGACCTGGCAAGTCCAAATGTAGTCGCAGATTGCCTTATCGCGACTATGTTCGTATATAACTGCAGACCTCCATTTAGTGCTGAAGATGTAAAGAATGCACAACTAAACAGAACCCATTGTGGTCAGGTTGATTTTCGATTCCTTCTGCCAGAAGATCTTATTCTGACTGTGAAAGCCACCAGCACCCATCATTTACTTAGGTCATGAACAAGAATTACTGTATCGAACAGCCGAGTTGGGTACTCCCTAGCAGAAGATATAATCAGTTTCGTAATTCTCAGTCACTAGTGAATTTAGCCTACAGCTAATACACGATGAACCAGGTGTTGCCACACGTGTCTCCCTGGTATGGATCGTTCAGTAAAACAAGCCAGATGAAATACTTTTGGCCTCGTATGGCAACTGATATTTCTGAGTATGTTAAGAAATGTAGTGCTGCATGCAACGTAAAGTTAATGCTAATGGTCCTAATCAATCAAGTATATCCAACTACTAGCGAACCGTGGGAAATAGTTTGCGCTAGATTTGTAACCAGATTTCCAATTGTTTCCCTCCAAGGTAACAAACACCTGTGTGTTATGGTAGAGAGACCATTTCATACCACCAGATATGTGAGTTAGTTCCTATTGCAGATAAGTCTGCCGAGACAGTATCAAAGCGTAAAGAACGCATTATCAGCATGCATACCACCCAAATTCACTAGAAACAGATAATGGAGGTGAATCAGTAATGAGATTCTTGAAAATTTGGTAACCTTGACAAGATCTCAAAATCCACCATTGTTCCTCATCATCCAGCCAGCAATTGTTAGCGAACGAACCAATAAGAAAGTACTTGATGTCTTGATAAGCACTATCAATCCAAACATTGATACTTGGGATGAAGTTTTTAAAAAAATAAAATAAATTTAAACCTTATTGCAGTGTGCTATAAAATACAGCTTTACAATGTTTCTATAGGTTGACACCCACATATGTGCATTGTATGGGTGTAGATAAACGTTTTGCCTTATGAATGTTTATATTCTAATCCGAAACCAAATTTACAACCTGATGATTCATAGCCAACTCGTACCAGCTTAGCTCAAAGTTTTTTTAGAAGAATCCGTGAAAACACCTTCATAAATCAAACAGCAGAATTTACAAGAGTCGCAAACACTCGAGCAAAGCCATCCAAAATCAAAGAATGTTCGAGAGTTAGCTGGATTAAACTTTAAACAAAAACTCTGCAATGCCAAAGCTAGATTCAAAGTATGTTGGTCCTTAACGATGAGTTGAACAAATCACTGTAATTAAGTATAAAGGGTAGAGAGAATTAGTACTGTCAGTATAAAGAATCGCATTTAGATCATATGAAGTTAATATGTGATTATATGATAATTCCAAACCCAGACTAATGTGACAGACTCTAACAATCCTCCTGATCTGTAGCTCTCTTCCTCTGATACTCATCAGATGATCAACCAGAATGTCGTTATTCCCTACGTACACGATAGGTCATGAGAAATCCTCAATATCATTTGTAACATCCACAATCAGATTTGCCTCAAATACAGCATGAGTTAGCCAATGCCACAGAGTTTGATCCTCCCAAGATGAACACCCATTCTGCATATGACAATCTCTACCCTAGCGAGTTGGGGGTTAAATGTTACATAACCTGTATAGATGAATAATTTACAGTATCAACTAGCAGAATTCAAAATTTTTTTTATGTGTTCATGTTCTCCTCCGCATTCTTAGGAGTTAAACAGACTAGATTTGAGTTGCAACCGAATCTTCCTTTCTGTTTAAACACACTCTTTCTTTGTATATATTCCACCCTCAGAATCCCATAGATCACATGCATACAGATCGATCGATCAATTTTTTTTTGTATCACTTCTAATGTGATAATCTCAACCGTAGAAGATTTAAGTTGTCTATATTATACCTGTGTTATTGCATTACAGTTTCAGTTACGTAAGCTTCCATTCCAAGTTTTTCTTCTTATGTATGTTATAATGTTAATTTGTTGTGTACATTGACATTGTATAGAATCAGCCCAAGCTTTTGTACACCTGCCATCTATATTTGGTATTAGTTGTATGTCGGGATGACAAACGTTAGCGTCGCCGATCTCACAGTAGTAGTAACCAGATACCCAGTAACCAGTGTACTGTATTTGACTCACTTACCAACCGTCTCTGCCTAGTCACTGTCTGAACTCATATTGTGCTGACCTATAGTGCACAAATTCAAGAGACCCCTTCTCATATGGGTACTGGGGCGCCGAGTCAGTGTTACGAGAGATCAAGAGACAAGGTTTAAACGTCTGTAAGGGCGCTCCCCACATTATATGTAATTAATACGTACTACCAGCCTACCTTGGAGTGATAATACTTTACCCAATCCACTTGATCGAACTCCCCACATGATAACCAAGTAGTGACCTGAAGATCATACAACTAGTAGTGTCTGAAGATCATGACTACAAGTAGTGACAGGAAGATCATACTACTAGTGGTGAAAGGAATATCCTACTAACTAGTAAGTGGTAGTTAAGATCATCACTAGTAGTGATTATAAAGATCATACTAAAACGAATAGTGAATAGTGAGAATCATACAACGAGGGGAGATAGGAGGATCAGATACTACTAGTATTGAGATAGTAAATCAACTACTAGTAGTGATAGGAGAAGACATCACTACTAGTGTTGATAGTAAAATCAACTACTATAGTGTAGAAATCAAACTACTATTAATTGATATAAAAAAAATTCATACTAAATAGTAGTGATAGTAAGATCATACTACGAGGAGCGATAGGAAGATCATTCTACTAGTAGTGGCATGAAGATCATTCTACTAATAGTTACAGGAAGATCATACTACTAGTAATGATAGAAAGATCATACTGCTAGTAGTGGCATGAAGATCATACTACTCGCAGTGATAGGAAGATCATACTCCTAGTAGTGACATGAAGATCATACTATTAGTAGTGATTGGAAGATCATACTACTAGTAGTGATAGGAAGATAATACTACTAGTAGTGACATGAAGATCATTCTGCTAGTAGTTATAGGAAGATCATTCTACTGGAAGTGTTAGCAACACCAGCTACAGAATCATTTATAGCGGATGGTAGTATTAGTAGGAATATTATTACTAAAATCAAAAGTGATTGCTAAACTCACATGGGTCATGCAGCAGTAATTACTAGTAATAGTAGTTCTTTACTACCCATAATTAAGTGTGCAGGCAAGTGCCACCACCAACACTACCTTCCTCCTCAGCTACTGATGATGGTTACAACGTGTATGGTACCAACTACCTGAAACTCTACCTGGATAGGAAAAATGCCTTTGACGCCAGCAAAGCTTGTGCTGACGAGGGAGGAACACTGCCTTCAGTAACAGTGAGTAAAGGTTCCACTATAATCTGTACCTTGTCCGTAATTAATTTCTCATTTGATTTGGAAAAATGAACTTGTTGTTAGAAGACGGGGGAGTTTACGTTCCCGTTAATACACACTAAAATAAAAAAAAATTAAGTAGATTCTGTTTCCACGTTGTAACTCTCAGGAATGTACACGTAAAAAATAATCTCAAATAATGTTATTAGTAGCAGTATTGTTATTATAAATATTATTATTGCAATAATTGTAAGTGTGAAGGCGTCATACGACACCTGGGAAATGGGATGTAACGAGGTTTGATTTAAGGAAGTGTTCTCAATTAATTCATGAGGTTTGTGGTTAGATTATCGGCATGGGTGGAAATGTTGGGCGTTTTCCCCTACACCTGCTGTTTCAGTTTACCTAGCAGTAAGTAGGTACCTGGGTGTTAGTCGACTGGTGTGGGTCGCATCCTGGGGGATAAGATTGAAGGACCCTAGACGTCAATGATGTACTGACTTTCTTTGGTAATCCTCGGTGGTTATCTTTCTGGGTTATAAAAAAACAACAATTCTTACCTTATCCCATCTTATCACCACAAGATAGTTTTCCGTATAGTGAAGATAATATGACTGAATTGATGAGACAAGTAACATCAATGGATGCAAACCGACTAAGAAGGGAGAAAAGATAAATACCCTGATAGTATTAATGATAAATTATAAAGAATGGAATGGAGACTAATTTAAATAATTATAACAGTTAAAACGAATAGCTGAAAATGAATGGAATTAATCAGAAGACAGAAACAGAAAATTTCAAGAGATGGAAAATGTGTCAAGACTAGCAAAACAGTGGCATGTAAGAAGGCAAATAAAAGTTGAATAGACATTGCTAAACAGAGTAGAAGTTGAGAAGTAGATAAATATGGAAATGACATTACTATTAAGGCTAACAAACACCATATTAAAAGAGATAGCAAACACAATAGTGATAACTATGGGAAGAGAGAGAGAGAGAGAACGCATCAAGAATAAAGATATGGGGAAAAGTTTATAAAAAATTACTAAGGAAATATGTGTTTGTACTACAATAAGACAAACTACAAACAACAGCAGCATAGGTAGACAAATGGCAGGAAAATATAGACCTGGCAAGATTATATGTTAGTTACATGTTAAACATATGGAAGAGCTGAGCACAGTGTATAAACAGTGTATTTCTCTCAGTGTATGTGCACAGAGTGCAAAGATTACGGACAGCCTTAATGACCCTAGTGTGGTAGATACTCTACATACCCCATTAAGCAACCAACCAACCAACCAACCAACTAACCAACCAACCAACCAATCAATCAAACAATCAACCAACCAACCATCCAATCAACCCAACCAATCAACCAACCAACCAACCAATCAACCAACCAATCAACCAACCAATCAACAAACCAACCAATCAACCAACCAACCAATCAACCAACCAACCAACAAACCGATCAACCAACTAACCAGTCAACCAACCAACCAACCAACCAACCAATCAACCAACCCAAACAACCAACCAACCAATCAACCAACCAATCAACCAACCAATCAACTAACCAACCAATCAACCAACCAATCAACCAACTAATCAACCAACCAACCAATCAACCAACCAAACATGGAAGATCTTTTATAAAAACTGAAAACAAAAGCTAAAACAAAAAAAAATAAAACATCTCGGACCTTCAAGGGTGCCTTGATGTCAATGAGGTGCTCTTGATCCTAGAAAGGGAACTAATACTTGTTTTCTTCGGACTGATCCTGATCGCTATCCATTTTCCTGAGGTATATAACCCCCCCCCCCATGATGGTATACTAATGATAACCCATTTAAAAGATAAAAAAAAGAAGGGGATACAAATTATATATAACAAACTTAAAATATTTAAATAGTCGGAAATGGATAGATAGATATTTTACTAAGGAAGAAAATTCTTTTGGAAAGGAAGAGCAAATAAGAGGGGAATGAGAAGTGTTCCTACCTGCAGAAGAATGTTGGTATCCAGTGTTTGAAAACCGATCATAGTGGGTCGTGGAGCCACCTGAGGTAATCTGGAGAGATCTGGAGTTTATCTGGAGAGAGTTCCGGGGGTCAACGCCCCGCGGCCCCCGGTCTGTGACCGGGCCTCCTTGGGTCAGTGTCCCGGGATCGACCCACACCACGACTAACACCCAGGTACCCATTTTACTGATGGGGAACATAGACAACAGGTGAAAGAAACACGCCCAATGTTTTCTACTCTGGTAAACAGTCCACTTCCTAAGAACAAGAGCCTCTCAAAAGTATCAAGAACCTCTTTGTGACGAAGGGGGGGGGAAGGGAAGGTGGGAACTACTGTTTATTAACTGAAAAATACCTTGATTAATGTATTTTTTCCTCATGACCCAGAGCGATGACATGAAATCTACCTGTTAAAACCGTTACAAAGAACTTGGTCGGGCGAGCTACCATTGGAGTCTCAGAACATGAAGACTGAGGGACAAGGGGTGTATGCTAATGTAAGATTTATTTATTGCTTTAACTATATCACTAATGCACGCTTCTCTAAAATTTCCCAATTAAACAATTTTAGTTGTAATAACAAATTTTTCTTAATACTGTAAAATTTCAAATCAAAACTAATTACAGTAATAACAACATAATTTCAATAGCTATTAACAGCTGCAGTAGTAACAGCAACAGTAATATTATCAGCTGCAGTAGTAACAGCAACAGTAATATTTTCAGCCCGCAGTATAACAGCAACAGTAATATTAACAGCTGCAGTAGTAACAGCAACAGTAATATTAACAGCTGCAAAAAAATAACAGCAACAGTAATATTAACAGCTGCAGTAGTAACAGCAACATGAATATTAACAGCTGCAGTAGTAACAGCAACAGTAATATTATCAGCTTTCAGTAAGTAACAGTATCAGTAATGTCAGCACTGCAGTAGAAACAGCAACAGTAATAAATTTAAAAGCTGCAGTAGTTAACAGCAACAGAATATTAACAGCTGCAGTAGGTAACAGCAACAGTAATATTAACAGCTGTAGTAGTAACAGCAACAGTAATATTAACACCTGTAGTAGTAACAGTATCAGTAATATCTGCAGCTGTAGTAGTAACAGCAACAGTAATATTAACACCTGTAGTAGTAACAGAATCAGTAATATCTGCAGCTGTAGTAGTAACAGCAACAGTAATATTAACACCTGTAGTAGTAACAGTATCAGTAATATCTGCAGCTGTAGTAGTAACAGCAACAGTTAAATAAACAAAACCTGTAGTAGTAACAGTATCAGTAATATCTGCAGCTGTAGTAGTAACAGCAACAGTAATATTAACACCTGTAGTAGTAACAGAATCAGTAATATCTGCAGCTGTAGTAGTAACAGCAACAGTAATATTAACAGCTGCAGTAGTAACAGTATCAGTAATACTGCAGCCTGTAGTAGTAACAGCAACATAATATAAACAGCTGCAGTAGTAACAGTATCAGTAATATTAACAGCTGTAGTAAGTACAGCCAAAAAGTAAAAATTAACAGCTGCAGTAGTAACAGAATCCCGTAATATCTGCAGCTGCAGTAGTAAAAGTAACATTTAAAATTAGCAGCTGCAGTAGTAACAGAATCAGTAATATCTGCAGCTGCAGTAGTAAAAGTATAGTATAATATTAGCAGCTGCAGTAATAAAAGTATCAGTAAATTAGCAGCTGCAGTAGTAACAGCAACAGTAATATTAACAGCTGCAGTAGTAACAGTATCAGTAATATTAACAGCTGTAGTAGTAACAGCAACAGTAATATTAACACTGCTAGTAGTAACAGAATCAGTAATATCTGCAGCTGCAGTAGTAAAAGTAATCATAATATTAAACAACTGCAGTAGTAACAGAATCAGTAATATCTGCAGCTGCAGTAGTAAAAGTATCAGTAATATTAGCAGCTGCAGTAGTAACAGCAACAGTAATATTAACAGCTGCAGTAGTAACAGCAACAGTAATATCTGCAGCTGTAGTAGTAACAGCAACAGTAATATTAACAGCTGCAGTAGTAACAGCAACATAATATTTAAAAGCTGCAGTAGTAACAGAATCAGTAATATCTGCAGCGCATAGTAAAAGTATCAGTAATAATAAACAGCTGCAGTAGTAACAAATCATTTAAAATCTGCAGCTGCAGTAGTAAAAGTATCGTAATATTAGCACTGCATATTTAAAAATATCAGTAATATTAGCAGCTGCAGTAGTAACAGCCAAAAGTAAAAATTAACAACTGCAGTAGTAACAGTATCAGTAATATTAACAGCTGTAGTAGTAACAGCAACAGTAATATTAACAGCTGCAGTAGTAACAAATCAGTAATATTCCGCAGCTGCAGTAGTTTAAAAGTATCAGTAATATTAGCAGCTGCAGTAGTAACAGAATCAGTAATATCTGCAGCTGCAGTAGTAAATACATAATATTAGCAGCTGCAGTAGTAAACGCAACAGTAATATTAACAGCTGCAGTAGTAAACAGCAACAGTAATATCTGCAGCTGTAGTAGTAACAGCAACAGTAATATTAACAGCTGCAGTAGTAACAGCAACAGTAATATTAACAGCTGCAGTAGTAACAGAAAACAGTAATATCTGCCAAACTGCAGTAGTAAAAGTATCAGTAATATTAGCAGCTGCAGTAGTAACAGCAACAGTAATATTAACAGCTGCAGTAGTAACAGCAACAGTAATATTAACAGCTGCAGTAGTAACAGCAACAGTAATATCTGCAGCTGTAGTAGTAACAGCAACAGTAATATTAACAGCTGCAGTAGTAAGAGCAACAGTAATATTAACACCTGTAGTAGTAACAGTATCAGTAATATTAGCAGCTGTAGTAGTAACAGCAACAGTAACATTAACACCTGTAGTAGTAACAGTATCAGTAATATCAGCAGCTGTAGTAGTAACAGCAACAGTAATATTAGCAACTGTAGTAGTAACAGCAACAGTAATATTAACACCTGTAGTAGTAACATTATCAGTAACATTAGCAGCTGCAATAGCAACAGCAACAGCAAA